CTCACAATGTTGTATCAAGCAAACAAGGCTGACTCACCAGATCCTGGTCCAACAAGACAAACAGTGTCACTCGTGAGGACTCGAGAAGAACTCTAATTAAGGAGAATCAGTTTTGGCTTCCCGTCTCGGCTCGACTGTACACGGCCTTAAAAGACTCAAGTGAACTCGGTAAGTAAGGCTGTTAGAGTGTTAGAGCTTCAATAGCAGCATCACCACAACGTGTGTCAGCAAGAAGCCTTCTTGGTAATAAATGATCAAGGCTCTGCCTCTCTCCTCTTTTTCTTTCTCATATCATCAACTCCTAGTGCGCGAATGACCAGCTTTTCCTGCCTCCTCGGCCTCCCACAATACTGGTGACTATTACCAAGAGAATAGCCACAGTGATTTCCGCTTAGGGCTACATTAGGTAAACACCCGGTACGATTCCCTCCTCTATTGAGGACCACGTCATGGGCTGGACCCGGAGTTTTATTAAATATTATTATTGTTATTTTCTACTATACTGAGTATCAGAAAACACTGAAGCTACGATAAATATTCAATGTAATTTCGAAGACATTCAGAACGTCATTCTAGTTAAGAGATTAAACGAGTCGATTAGATGCGATTTGTTTTCTTCAAGTTGTGAAAATAGTTAATTTACCTAACTTAACCAAGTCCATGTGTAACATTACCCAAATTCAAGCAGCCTATTCTTAACATGAACACATGTATATGAAGGCGATGTTGTCTACTTTAAAAAATATTCTGTATAGTCACATCAGTCAGCTTGAACTCGAACGCTTAGCCCTCCACCACTACTTCGGACGTCACTTTCTACGTCATCAATGCAATACCACTTAGCAATTCCAAACCAATTATATAGACAATCGGCCAAAGTAGTTTATATCACGACCAAATAACTTCCGGCCAGCGTGACAATTACAGGTGTTATGTAACGTATATTACCTGCCACTAAGGCCAGTGTGTCCCGAACCAGCTGTTACTTCAGTCATCCACGTTTAATTTACACTGAAATGGGTCTTTTTTCCTTTTGTAAATTATATTCTTTGTCAAAACTCAGACCAAGTTGCAGATATTCATAATAATGTTACGCATCATCCTTTTATGAAAACAAAGAAGTTGTTGTGTTGAAGTAATTTGTTTATGCGTCACTAAATGTGGAATATAATGATGAAATAAGTTGGTAAATGATAATCTATTTTCTCAGCTTTTTGGGTATATATATATATATATATATATATATATATATATATATATATATATATATATATATATATATATATATATATATATATATATATATATATATATAATATATATATATATATATATACCTTACAAGGACTTCAGACAACTCTCCATTGTGCACTGCTATGCTTACGATAGTGTGTTTATTTTTTTTATTAACAACATTCCCTGGTAACTAACGGAAACCTAACCTTGTTCTAACCGAGCAAGACTCCTGTCACTACAAGGGGCACTCTTATTGATGTACGTACAAGGGAAGGTTTGTTTGCGGTTAGACAAGAATGTGAGTCATTGGAGGCACAGTTAACTCGCTGGTCGATTACTTCCAGAATTTGATCAATCCCAAAGTCTTATTTGCACTACTGTAAACAAAAATAAGGCTCATTGGTCAGTGTAACTTTAAGTTTCCATCGGGTGAGGCATTTGTAGAGGGCGGGCATAATGAACACACTTTCCCTAGTTTCCACAGTTCTTTGTTTTTTACTGTAATTCTCTCTACCGATTATTGTAACTATCGATGTAAATTCCACGCATTTTTTTTCATTTCGTAAAGTATAAGACCGAGGGCTGTGACGACTCAGTAACGTACCCCACTATTAGCACATACTGTATACTTGTAGCTTCCCCTGAGCCTAATTCAAGAGAAGGTTATACGTATTCATACACAATCGGCGTCTGTATGATTCTGTTCCACATTTAAGGCCACAGCTTTAATATAAAACAAAGTCGTATGAGAAGTGGGATATTCACTAATAAAGAGATATAAATAATCTAACTCAATCTAACTTACAGACGTTAAAAGTCAACTTCACAAACTAGATAATATGACTCCTGCACAATTTCATCCAGTACACCAAAACATTTTAACTTATGGTAAACTATCAAAGAAAATTTCCGGACAAAATACAAACATAAATAAATTAGTAATAGCTTTGGTGTTCCATGGTTCAGGTAATTACAATGACCTTGACTCTTGGGCCAGTACAGTCAGTCAGTCAGTCAGTCCCCACCATCAGTTAGGTTACGTCCATATCCCGGTAGGATTACGTTTACTTAAGCAGAGAACTTTAGTATTCCAGAGCAGTTATTGGTAAGTTACTTCTGTTGTCCCATTGTGTGAGAAACAAGCAAGGAACCTGTAACTCACCACTACTATTATGACTTGTCTTCCCTAAACTCATGTGGCTGACTGAATATTTCATCCTCAAGTTAGAATAAAATCATTTGATCTTACCATAAATAAAACTGACGTATACAATAGGTCCTTAAACAATAACTGCCACCTCAGCTAAATGAACAATAAGGCAATTATATAATAAATTATAAATGACGGAAGATTCTTAGCGTCTATAATAATTAATAAATTCCTCTAAAATACAAGATGACATTTGGTAGACTGACATCTGCCACGGCACAAAGGACGCGAGGGCACAGTATCTCTCCTGTACTTGATCTGTCCTCGTGGTCTCTATATCATGCACTTATATGTTCCCTTTGAACAATTTGATTGTTTTCTAGCCTAGTCGACCGATGAAACGCGTAAAGATCGTTTCGTCATGTGCTCCGAAAATGCTTGATAATCACAAATTTCCTTCCTGCAGGAGGTGAAGTGAATTCCATCCTCCTATTCGAACTCTTATTTAACCCAAAGATTTGTAGCTACAGTTGACTAAAATGTCGATACCGCGCAAGATTAAAGTTCAAAAGCGTAACAATTCCCCGGTGTTGGAATGTCTGATCTTGATAAAAAGGTAAACACAACAGTCTCGTAAAACCAAATGGAACATATTACGTCAAGCTGAAACATCATATTGTCAAATGAAACTGCACAGACACTTACCCTTGTTTAGCCTCGAAAGATGAGAACAGAAGACGGAATTAGAGATAACTGGCAACCTCTAACCAGTCCCCGGTAGTGAGGTCCTGCTCGTTATTCCCTCACACCCCCCCACACACGCACCTCAGAAAGGGCCCTAAATACCTCCCCTAATGATTACCTTTGACAGGATTAGAGAGTTTTGTTACCTGTGGTAGGCTGGAGGGATAGTAGGGGCACTGATGGATACAGCGAGAGAAGAGTGGCAGGAAGGAGCGGTCGTCAATAGAAGATATCCTCACTTAACCTAACCAAATCCCTCCCAGGTAGCGTTAGGATATTTAATTATCAGGTGAAATAAGCTTGGGGGGGGGGCTAATATTCACGTGATCCGAACATACATTGACGATTGATTCCTCATTGACAAGTAACCCTACCAGTGATATATCCTAGAGCTTCCTAAGGGCATAATACGTGGCATAAATAACAGACTCTGAGGCTTTACCATCATCATCATTCTACTATCACTAAGACCTTGGCTTAAGATCGCACGAATCATGATCCAAGCGATAAGAAGTCTCCCACCTTATCTTGAAAGTGAACTGGTTTATCTTATCTCATGCTACACCTCCTCTGATAACCATAAAACTGCATAAAAATGGAAGGATTACGTGAAGATTAGGCACCTCAGATTATATTATCCGATAATTAAAACATCCTAACGCTATCTGGAGGGATTTGGTCAAGTTAAGTTAAACCAAATTTAATATATGGACACAGGCCAATGAATCTGAACTCGTTTTATATGTAGGTTTGTTCAGTATGTGTGTCCTGTCGGGTGGGAGGTTGTCGATTGATCTATTCCTCTCTCTCCTCTCAGGCACATACTACCTCGTGTTCTCCCATGGTTACAGTTGCCCCGGTTATAAATATTTTATATATCACCCACCAGGCTCTATCCCTGTTGTTCTTGGACAGACAGATAAACAGACAGGGATAGACGGACAGAGAGAGGGATGAACGGACAGAGAGAGGGATGAACGGACAGAGAGAGAGGGAGGGACGGACAGACAGACGTAAACAAAGCCACTATACTTCACCTGTATGACCACTGACCAGCCTAGTTAACGTTCACCGGCACCAATGATAAACTACCCTCCCCCACCCCTGTAATGAGGAATTCCCCTTCCTCCTCCTCCACGTTTAATCACCCCTCTTTCTCTTTCTATTTCCTTCTGTGTGTGTGTGTGTCTCTGGATGTGTGTGTGTGTCTCTGGATGTGTGTGTGTGAATCCCGTGAACATATGTTTTAGTGGGTTTGTGTATGTATACAGTAGTGTGTGCATGCATAATTAATACGAGTATTTAAAATGCGTATGTTTGAGTGGTTGTAGTGTATGACTGAGCGGGTTTGTTAGTCATAGTGCGTGTGTTTGTGAATGTGACTGTTGAAGTGGCTGAATGTCTATTTGTATGAATGTATGTATGTGTTTGTGTGTGCCTGTGTGAAGGGGATTTTGCGGTGGTTGGTTAGTTACGAGGCCATATCCGGTATGTTGTGAGCATCGGTATCCCCCACACACTGCACAAGGTCACCACCAGTCACAAGTGGTCAGCATCACTTTATAAACTTCACAAGTCTATGTACAGTCCCCTTCACTAGTGCGTTTACAGGGGCTCGTCAGGTTTTGTGCAGTGTGGCAGCCCTGTGTTTGTTTACATTCGACAGAAGGAAACTCGCAATAATAAGCATGCTATAGAATCAAAAGTAAAACAATATTAAAACAAATATCTCAAAGATAATGAATTTGTGGAATGTTTGTATGACGAGCCCCTGTAAACGCACTAGTGAAGGGGACTGTACTATCGTGGACAAAAGTTCGCTCCCTGTGGTGGAACTGAGTCACAGGAATGAGTCTCCGAACTGACTTACCTTGACTGTGTGCGGGTGTGCAGTTTTGTTTCATTTGGGGTCGATACTGCTTCAGTTTTAGAGGGAGCGAACTTTTGTCCACGATAGTACATCTCGCGTCCCACAGCTACAGATATTTAAAATAAATGCCTTATCAAAATTACACCACTTTTACTGATACAAATTCATATCCCCATTTTTTTACTAACACTATATACACGTATCTATAGTGGTACAGCGGCGGTAAGAGCATGACTCACCAATAAGAGTTCCAGCCTCGGCCCAGACACACGTAAGAAGGATGTTATCTAGTGTAACCCTACCAACACAGGTTTCCCGGTTTCCTCATGTACTAACACTGGATAGAACGGTTAGTAAGATGATAAGTGGCGAAAATGATAAGAAAAAAAATGGTAATTAAGTTTTTGGCCACGGATGTTTTTTTAGGACATTACCCAAATTTTAGTAGTGGTCAGTAGGTGCTAACATTTGTAACAGTGACCACCTATACATGTGATATTGTAACACCCATTAAGGTCAATATGAACTTTCTTCACAGTGATAAAGTGTTAGGAGTCAAATGAGCGGTTAGTGAACGGGTACAGATGGACGGACGAAAGTAAATCAATTGCCCCTGCCACAAGCGCCATTATAAATACACGAGGAATAATCTAAATAAATTCAATTACGAAAACTTTACCCCAAGGAAGAAGGCAGATTCACTGACGCTTTAACTGCTTTAGAAACATTAACTAAAGCCCAAACGTTTAAACTTATGAGGTTTTGTATAGTCTATAAAACGTTTGATTACCTAATAACTTTCTTTCATTTAACTAAGTTCTATAAATCCGATACTGTACAAGTTATTTCACCCAATCCTGAACAGTGAAGTCAAATACGAGTGACGAATCAGTAATGGAATAAGTATAAGTAATTGATGTTTGGTTAATTACGTCACAAACCTTGGACTGCCAACCACCCTCCCCAAAATCACGAATGAATAACTGCAATAACATTGGTGCATGGTTGTGATACTCACCAAGAAATAACATACAGTGAAGAATGCTAAAATATTGTTATTGTGTTGGTGTAGTCGCAGCTAAGGCCATCAAGTGAAGTATATCGCCAAAAGGCTATATCCGTTTTATTTAACATTAAATATTGAGCAAAATCAGACCAAAATTGTCGACCAAACTAGCAACAGTCATGGTCTTGTCCTCTATCGCCCTGTACGAGACTCGATATAAAAGTAGGAGCTGACAACTACTAAATATTAAAGCACAAAATTACGTACTAAGACAAACTTAAGACTGTAAAATTATTTCCAAAGAAAAATAATCAAAGATAATTTTAATACTGTACTTACGTGTAACACCAAAGTTTCCTCAACAACTCTGTATCACAAAGCTGAATCGTTCATATAATTTGAACACAAATTTTCACTCAATAGTTGCGCGGGAGTGAAACACTCGTCACTGAAACAGAGCACAGACCCTCCTCGGTCAGTTATGGCAGCACACTGAGAGTCTGAGGTGCATGAGACAGTGATGGCAACTCACTACTCCCTAGCACTACACCGAGGTCCACGCATGCGCAACTCTCCCATCCAAGTGTTTTATTTACTTTTTTTACAGGTGTAGTAGACAGGAATTGTTCATGTTGGGTGTTCACTATCACTAAGTCATATATGGAGACTGACAGCCGGTAATAAAGTTTATATAAATTGATAAAACCTAATCAGATTAATAGTCGTGAACCGCTATCAATGTTTTAAGGGCGAGACAAGTACTGCTAAGACAACCAGTTTAATATTATTTTGTAAACGAAGGATCAAACAAATGGAGTTTTCTTTAAAGGCATAACATCATCTAAACCACAGCCTGGGTGATAAATGTCCTCACCACGACATTAATACAAGAAGTGGGTGGCGTGGGTTGTGATGAGGTGATCAGCACAGAGGGTTAAGAATCTCGTCACCATATAATTTTCACCTGACTAGATATTTAATGTACAGAGTGAAAGAATATATTACAAGTTTGACGTATTTATGTCTGAGTGTGTGTGTGTGTGTGTGTGTAGGTGTGTTGTTTTTATGAGTACGAGTGTATAAGTGTATTGTGTGTTGCGTGCATGTGTATGAGTGTGTATGTGTGTTGCGTGCATGTGTATGAGTGTGTATTATTTCCCCACATTCTTCATGGGGTCAATCTTATGGTTAAATCAATAGACGTCATATTTTTGTATTTTGAACTTTTATTCCGAAACTGTAGTTCAAGAGTTTACTTATTCTCACATATGTTAGTTCCCATAACAGCGTGGGAAAAGGTCGAAACAATTATAAACCTTTGAAGCTACGATCCATACAATACAATGATACACGATGATATTAATCAAAAATGTCTTGTAAACAACAGTGAGGATTTTAGACTTGTGTACAACAATATAATAAACTGTAAACTATATGGCGAAGGAAAACATACAGTGAGTTTGGGCTTAAAAACATGTTTTCACTTTAGTGCTTCTGCTGATCTATTGTTCAACATAAGTCCTCATTTGACTTCACATCTCTCTTTGTACTGTACACACACACACACACACACACACACACACACACACACACACACACATTAAATATATGACCAACCAACAATTCATATAGTTGTTCTGTCACAGTGTTGAATATATCTCTCGTCACACTTATAATTTTTCCGGTTCATATTAAATGTTCATTATCATTATATTTTTATATATTCAACGTTACAGAAGTTTTTGTGAATCAAAACATCAAGCAATGATAAATAATGAACAAGATCCATACTTTATGAACAATGCAATACGACAGAACTGTAGACTTCCCCAGGAGCTGAGTTCTGTAGCCCAGGACACGAAGGTTCACTGAAAAATCACTACATCAGGTTTGGGAGGAATATTACAGTCGTCATTGTGGTGCAGCGTAAAGCTCGTGCAGTTTATAAAGAAGTTAACATGGTGCTTCTCACCAGCTGTGTCAAGTGTTCACCAGGTCTCGGGCCCGACCTCAGCAACACGTACAGTGAATGATGAAGATATCCGGCAAAAGTACATCCAGTACATGACGTCAGACAATATTATAAAAATATAAATATTTTCCTATAACTTTGACATTTATACTGAAATAAGGCGAACATTACACATTAATACTGTACGGATTTTTCTGGGCTATTCGGTTTACTTGTTGTTTCAGCTGCGAACTCCTCTGCTCCAGCTGCTGCTGCTGTTGCTTCTGTTGCTGCTCATACCGCTGCAGCAAGACGGTCAGTTCAGTGGCAGAAATGTTATCGCCGCTGACTCTGCCGTTACTTCTAACTCTTGATTGTGACGCGTTACTACTGGCTTGGGCCTGTGACAGCATCTCTCTGTCACACTCTGTCTCAGACAGCTCCCGAGAGTCTGAAAACGCCGAGGGTGGGTGAAGAGGCCGAGGGGCGGGGGGTGTGAGGGGCGACTCCTCGCTGGAGGACGATGTCTCGCTGTGCACTCTGTGGGAACAACCAGAAATTTGTTTTTTTGAGAATGTTGGAAGAATGTTTCAAAATAACCCGTTAAAATTATTTTGACAACAAAAATGGTTTTGATTACTACTACAGTACAGCCTCCGCTACTGATGATACACAAACTGTACAGTAATGCACTGTACATCTATACTATATGTGGGATACACAGTGACGAGGACTTGGATCAAGATGAAGTAAACTACTGCAGTAATGGTTACCATGCATGGTGTGGGGCTGACCACACTATGGTTACCATGCATGGTGTGGGGCTGACCACAGTATGGTTACCATGCATGGTGTGGGGCTGACCACACTATGGTTACCATGCATGGTGTGGGGCTGACCACCCTATGGTTATCATGCATGGTGTGGGGTTGACCACCTTACATCTAGGCCCACCAGACATTACCAACAGGTGTGGTCAGGTATGTGTCACTTGTTATAGTATTTGTTTAGAAATTTCCCCAATTACACGTACAGTACTTACACTGTTTGTTTAAAAATGAAAGACAAATATGATTTTTTTTCTCAGCGTCACATAAAAAGGTTTAATTAGCTAAGATTCCCTTTGTGACAAAATTAGTTGTATTTGTTACAATGTGCAGTTAAGTTGCCTGCTCTTATACCTGGTACAGTGGCTGGTGTGTTTTGCGAGATGTGGCAACTCTGTGTTTGTTTACATTGTATTAAAACTCCCGGAATGGCCTTAAGGAATTTCACAATAGAAGACAGACTAAGGATGCTAGATAAATCTTCCACAGTGATGCCACATCTCACAAAACGCACCAACCACTACCAGGCATAAGTACAGTACAAGCGACCGCACAATCATGTTTATTTTTAATGTATGAACTGATAATATTCTTATTAACCCTCATGCAAAAAATGTGTGGTTTTGTGTCATACAGTCCAACAATCTATAAAAAAATGGCCAGTGCTGGAGTAAGAGTGAAGGTAAAATTAACAAGAGGAAATCATATGTCGTACTTGAGTAAAATCACATACACACACAAAGAGATGATCACTAAGAATTAAAATACCCAGGTATGACCCAGCCTGAAGACAAGGTGTGCGCCTGACCTAGGAAGTAATTATGAAACTGAACAAATCACCAGGTGTAAATGAATAGGTTAAGTAGTTTTATAATACCTTTTTTTTATTATACCAAGGCTGAGGCTCCACCTGAATATGATATTGTTATTGGATGAGTCATTACTGCACCTGGACTGTATACCTAAACCTCTACTTCGTCTTGCATTTCAGAATAACGTCGCTAAATAATAGATGTTATATTTTCCCTTATTCAAAATAACCATGCAATAAAAACTCGCAGAATAGTATAGGACTAGATTTCAATCAATGATAAAGATTTTAATTTTCGACCTTATGAACCTCTCAAAACACAGGTATACATCTATGAATGGTAATGATAATGTATACATATATCAATGTGATCCATGCAATACCACACACACACACACACACACACGACATGAGTGACGACAGAAGCAGAGGAGGTAAACTGGCTGAGGGGTGAACTACTAGCCCTGTGAGGAACGTGTGTTTAGTGTCTATTAAGGAGGAGGAGGGATGAAGGGCATGGTGGGCACTGCGTCAGCCAGGGACCACCTACATAGCTCGGCCTCCTCTACCTGGACTACCTGGCAAGTCGGACAGGTGGCAGTGGATGGGGCCCTACACGTCCTGCTGTTGCTTGCTGTTGAGGAGCCATTTGCTGTGAACCCAACTGCTGCATGTGCTGTGAGGCCAATTGTTGTGGGTGCTGTGAATTCAACTGCTGTAGGTGCTGTGGAGTCAGCTGCTGTGAACCCAACTGCTGTATGTGCTGTGAGGCCAACTGCGGCGGGGGGTGCTGTGAAGCCAATTGTTGTGGGTGCTGTGAACCACCCAACTGGTGCGTGTGCTGTGAACCCAGCTGCTGTGCGTGGTGCTGGAGATGTGGTTGTGGTGGCATCTGTGGGTGCTGATAGTGCTGCCGTTGTTGCACAGGGGAGGAGGCGTCGTTACTCTCGGTGCTTGAGTCACGCTGGGTGGCCTCCGTGCCTGAGTGTGGGTCAAGGTTTGTACTCCCTGCCAGTGGTAAGTGTCTATTAAACCTAAATTTACCCAACAAGTGAAACAAACTCAGTAACAGATGACCACAGAAGACAGTCTTTGAATATAATTATAAGGTAACTTTAAGCACGTCAGTCAGCTCTATGAATAACTCCTGATTAAGTGACACACTAGGTGACTGACTGACTGAATGACTAAGATAACTCGTCGAAGGGCCAGCGATGAGATAACACCCAGTTCTTGGTTACTCTCGTATCTTTAACTCTCACCTCTCGTGCAACTTCTGGAGCGGTGAGGACGACTACGTGTGTCCTTCCTCTCAGCCTCGTCAGTCCACGCTGCTGTCTGCTCCGAGGCGTCTCCTGGCAGGGGCGCAGGTGTTGGCTGGCCACCAGGGAGAGACTTGGGTCGGCTACCATACTCCCCACGGTTTCGATTACTTATGTAGGCAATTTCTGGTGGATAAGAGGGAAAAAATTAAGGATCATCATCAATCACATACGACACAACCCAGAATTAGCACAGTCATTGATACAGAGAATGCTAATGTTTGTAATACAGACGAGAGTACAGCAGGCCAATCAACCAATACAGTTAGTTTCTGTAGTCTATTCCGATACAACACACAATTCCTCATATTTCTTGTATAATTACCCTATTTTTACAGCTTTTCTTCGGGTTACTCACTTTTACTCTCCTTTATCGTGTGTTTTCTTGTTCTTGTCCTCATACATAATTGCATATATCTACAGAGTTGAATACTCATACTTTATTATATATACAGTAAGCACTAAGTTTAGCGTCATACTAGACACAATACACCTGTAATTTAATCCACATATCTTCATACACTTTATATGTGACAACAGCCTCTCTCGTGTGACACCTAAATCAGTGTGTAGATTTTTCCATCATATTTTGAATGCACTCCTGACTCCTCTTCAACTTCAGCGTAAATTCTGAACACAATCACAAGACTAGATGAGTGGTAAATAATTAATTACTACTGCACACCTTTTCTTAATTCTGTTACCTGTATGACAATTATCTCTTGATGTTGCTCACCTGTTTCCTTATAGTGAGACTGGGCCCTCTGTCGTCCAACCTGGCCGTAGGTGGCGGACTGCTGCTGGCCGTGGCGATCACTGTGGACAGGTTGTTCCAGACAGTCCCGAGGGGTCATAGCGTGTAGAGACAGACCGTACTCTAAGGTTCCCTCTGAACTTCCCACGCTAAGAACAAACCCAAAGATCTCAGAAGGAAAAGAAGTGCCAGTGAGAAGATCAGGTGAAGGAAAAAATGAAACCTAACGAGAGAAGACGAGTGGGAACTGGTAATTAACGGAAGATGGAATCCTTACAAGAAGAAACCTAAGTGAGTGTTTATACAGGAGGGATGCAGAGTCAAGGTACTCTATATGTTATACTTGTCATTATATCAGAAAAAACACCACAACATTTAGACGAACACAATATTCGAGGTTATTCAGAATTGTTTCACATGATCACGATGATACCTGAAGGTGGCGTAGGGGCAGATCTCGTAGGGGTCAGAGGTGTCACCCTGAGTCTTGAGGGAGGCGAGAGAGCCGCGAGGTTTCTTGGTGGGTGCGGGAGAGTAGAGGTGGGCGCGGGTGAGCTCTGAGTTACGGGCGTTGTCTTCCTCTCCCCCGCCCTTGTTGTCCAGACTCTCACCTGCACTGTTGGCCAGGAGGAGGACAAAAGGTTGATAAAGTATGAATGTTGACAAAGGTGTAGAGGTGTGATGGTGGTGATCGTCTGTTAGGAGAGATAGTGTCGTTTCCTTGTTCTCTCTTGGGAAACTGTTGGGGCTTCCTTCGGAGTCTTTTATTAAGAACAATAGACTTTTTATATAAATACAGTGCTGACAAGTGACTATTAATAACTAATTATGTATCTGCAGTTGAAGCTTTTACTACAAATTAAGAAAAAATATATGACGTCACGCAGAACATTAATGACGTGTTGTGATACTGTAGTTGTTTATGCACTTTAGAAAGGGAAAGTTTATACTGTAGAGATACGCACCTGTATCCCCCGTACCTGCGTCTCCTGACGGCGACACAGACGCAGATGATAAGAGCCGCTGCCAGCAGGATAGCACTGACCACGCCCGCCACCACATGGGCGTCCAGCCACTCAGTCATCACCACCGGGCTGCCCATCATCACCACCTCCTGAACCGGCGGCTGACCCGTGGCTTCACCTGCACCAACAGGTATTGTGTAGACTTGATCTTATTGCGACTAACATTAAGCACATTTAACTCTGTCCAAGTAACAACATATAAACAAGAAGAGTTAGTCAATAACAACATGCATATAAGGTGTGGTCCCTGGTGGCCACACTGACCACTATGGTCCCTGGTGGCCATAAGCTATACTACTCACCATCAATATGGCCTCTGATGGTCACGCGGTACACTACAGAAGTGTCTCCTGCAGTAGATCCCGCCGTGATCCTCAGGAGGTGCCAGGAGGTGGAGGTCAGGTCACAGAGGCCCAGGTCAGTAGTGTCTCTGGTCACGTGAGCATATAAAGAAGTCCAGGCCACCTCAGCATCTTCACTACCGCGTTCCACCTGTGAGAGGAAAAAGAACTTATGTCCTCTGTTGTACCCATCACCTCAGAACCACCCCAGCGGGACCATCACCCAACCAGCCATGTTTAATGACGGTGAGGCCAAAGATGTTTCTAAATTCAAATACATTTGTTTACTACACTCCAACTGATAATTGATCGACTTTTTGGTACTAAGATACAACACCGTGCCAGTTAAGACAATCATACGGGGAGATGTGTGACGGCTGGTTACCTTCCAGTGTGTGACGGGGCAGCCCAGCTCAGGCCAGACATACAGACGGAGCGTCACACACGTCGAGTTGACCTCCACTAACTTTGCCGGGTCGGGCCGCCCAGGAGCTGTGAAGTAAACAGTGTCAGAAAGAACTTGTCATCTGGATTTGGATGTTCAGGAGTTTGTATGTTAAAATTGTTCCTTGTCGCAAATGAAAAACAAAAATCAGATTCATTGAAGATTATTCCCTCCAGTTTATTTCTGTATGTGTGTGTGTGTGTGTGTGTGTGTGTGTGTGTGGTGCATTAGTATATTTTTACACACACTATGACACAAACTAATAAAAGGTGATACAAACTGTGTTAAATGGTTACACTGTTTGTCTTTACTGAGTACATCAATAGCAGGTAGAGAATATACTACATGACATACTGTAGGTTAAGAGGTTTATATCCTTCAAGGCTGACACCCGATCATAAACACTCCTCTCTCTGAAGAACTTTTACCTGTGGGTGTATGCTTTAAACCAAGGGAGAGTACACGCGACTGTCGGGTATTGTGGAATGTACTCAAAACTGTGGAATGTTAGTGAGGAATGTACTCAAACCTGTCAAATTTTAGTGTGGAATGTACTCAAGACTGTCGAATATTAGTTTAGAATGTACTCACGACTGCCGAGGGTGTTAGTGAGGAGGACAGGACTCGGGGTGCTGGTGCCGTGAGTGTTCCAGGCGGTGAGGTAGAGGTGGTGAGGGGCGCCACAGGGAAGACCTCTCACCATCACCGTCCTCACCCCAGGGTCAGCACTCGTCTCCACCCACTCCCCCGCCCGCTGTCTGTGATGCACCGTGTAGCCTGGTGACAGAAGGACAGTAACGATACAATGTTCTAGACTACGATAGTTTATGTAGAATATAACCTAACCTAACCCTATCGTAACTAAAGAGGCAAAATATTGATAGGTAAATAAAAATAATAACACCGATGTGACTTACCCAGTATAGGCGCACCTCCATCACTAGCAGGAGTAATGGTGAGGTTAAGGGCGTGGTGGGTGGCGTGGGCGAGAGCGAGGGTGGGTGGCGAGGGCGGCGTGACGACAACCACCTGGTGAGTGAGGCTGTCCACGCCCACCTTGTTCCTCACCCAACACGTGTAGTTACTCGTCTCCCTCACAGCTGACGATCATCACAATACATTTGAAAAAACATCAAACTTAACCTGGATTTATGAACTGAGGGAATTTATATGACCTTAGATATCCCCAAGTTAGAGTCATATTATCCTGGGTTCGAACCCCTGAGTCCCTGATCCCGGGAGAGTTGGATCAGAATCACCAGTAGATGGCAGTGTTTGGTGTTTGTTATTGTGCGTTGGTAAATGTCTCTCGTGCTGGTATATGGTAAGACTGAGAGACAAGAGATGGTAGACAAGAGGTGAGAAAGAAAGAGAAGAGACAGAAGCATTAGAGAGACAAAAGGCTAAGATACAGATAAAAAGAGAAGAGGTGAGATAGAGAGATAAGAGAAGAGAAAGACACAAGGGGTAATATAAAGACAATACAAAACAGGAGATAAGATAGAGGGAATAAAACAAGAAATAAAATAGAGAGACTAAAGAAAGAGAAAGACGACATAAGCAAGAGACAAGAGGAACAGCTGGTTGTCAGGAGAACACCATGGAGGGTGGTATTTGAGAACCAGCTGACAGATGGTTGACTAATCTTAGTAGAGTTGAAGTTGGAGACACACAAAACTGTAAAACTCATTAGACCTTCAGAGAGCTAATGAAGAGAAGTTTGTCTATGTTCAGTGTATAAAAAATTAACATCATAATAACAATATCTTAAGAATACAATTATTAGCTGTTAATTAAAGACATTCATCCCCGTACTAAGTATACAATTCAGACAGGTAAACATTCATCCAAGTCTTACAAAGATTTTTCATAACAATCATAGTCATTTCTTTTGAATAAATGAAACAGTAACTCAGGGGAAGGTTGTCACGTGAGAGCAGTGACATTCAAACTAACTGTGCCTCCTCAGTGACCCGCAGTAAATGTGTGCATCTTGCAGTGGGAAGGACTCGTTACTTTAAGGACATTAGGGATCATTTGTATGTTCTACACCTGAGGAAGGACGGAACTGTATATGGGAGACAATTCTACAGTGGCTTGTGTGGTACTTCATCAGTAAGTTGTTGAGGTGTTGTGACGAGGGAAGCATCAGAGAAAACACAAGGAATGTTTGATGGTATGGAGAGTCTATCAGCTTGGTCTGTGTGTTTATTGTTTACTCTCATCGTATCATAAAGTTGACGTGTGTAAAGAGGTACAGTATATCACAGCCTCGGTGATCACAGAACAAGATGAAACTGATCTTATTACTTAAAATTTTGTGTTGCTCATAACGTCATGGGAACTACTGTAACTGTAGTCAGTTGGTATATTTCTGAAGAAAGTAATGTATCTGAAACTGAATGTGTATAAACCTTGGAGGTATTCTTAAACAGTGTTTATAAATAAGTTCTCACCCGTCAGGTGTAGGTCGCCCCCTGGCAGGAGCTGAGTGAGCTGGCTGTTGGTGATGGTGGCGCTAGCCTTTGTCCAGGAGAGAGTGGGTGATGGTGACCCCAGGCCCCTGCACCCCAGGGTCACACCTGAGCCGGCACCCACCCACCACGACCGTCCTCCACCCACAGCAAAGGGGGCGTGTGTGGGTGTAGGGGTGGGCAGAGCAGTGAGTCTTGGGGACTGGCTGCCCTCCCCTGCCACTGTGGTAGCTGTCACCCACACCTGGCGAGTAACATGAGGTACAGAGTTAAACTTTACACTAGTTTTCTAGTTGTGTCAGTCAGCTCTTTCAATACCACCCCTCACCAAGTGATTACCGATGTGACTGACTGACTGAGAAGACATTGGTGATGCAACATAAAGCATTTTTTTTATCATAAAGAGAAAAATTGTGAAGTGCTCATAAAGGAACCTTCTGGGAATGGTTTGGTTTGACTATAATTATACAGCAGCCTCAACAAGCAGGGATAGTCCTCATAGTTGATTATTTATAAAGTCCAAAAATATTAATGTGAATCATAAGGTAGCCATCTGCCTCTGAGTATCACTGTCCCTCTCTTGCTGTTGGGAAGAGCTGTGGTCACCACACGCCACATGTTAGGTTCGTGCACTTGACCTCGGTAACATGACAAATCCCTTCCAGGGAAAAAATGTGTATATCAGTGTGTGGATGATGCTGAGTTAGCACACTACAAAAGAGATGTGCCGCTGATGCTGTTATTCAAGAACAAAGAAACAAGAGGACACTTAGGTACTAACCTGTACCCTGGAGGCCAATGTGAGGCCACTCAGCTCCCTCCAGGTGGCCTCTGACCCACCTGCACCCACCACGTCCCGCGATGCCGCCTGCAACACACGTCTCTGTCATCACAAGATATATTTTATCTTTACCGTTACCTTTACCTACGACCTTGTTAAGGCCATAAAGATTATTGTTTATTTACGGGTGTTTAAGACGACCAGTCAGTGTTACTCTCTATTATTGTCTCCCCAGTAGGATTTTTTTTCGAGCTGAAGACACATCAACGTTACATATTTTAGACGCACCTGGTCGTCCCTGGCTGAGTAGAGGGTGTAGTGGAGGATGGTGCCTGAGTGTGGCTGGGGCGGCGACCACGTCACCAGTAGGGTGGTGCTGCCTGTCACCACCACCCGCACCCTTCTCGGAGGCCCTGGGACTGATGACGTCAGTTAGAGTATGTTAAAGTGAGTTAAAGTTTAGTTTATTATATTATTCTTGAGACACTGTGTGATATATCATGATCTAAAAATAGAGAATTAAAGTCTTACGTGACCATAAGATTTGACAAAAATTATGTCGGCATTGGATGGCCAGCAAAAGATGGCCAACTAGTTATATAAATCAGTGAACCAATCAGTGAGTCAGTAAAGATTAGTAACACTAGAAAAACTTTATTTGAATGATTGCAGGAGTTTACCATCATCTTCAGTAACACAGAAAATTGGATGGTTGGGGGAACTGAAGCCCATGTCATTGAAAGCCTTGACTCTGACGCTGATGTTGGTGGCTGGAGGGAGACCATCCACGTTCTTCTCCAGGTTAGTTGTGTTGACCATCCAGGTGCTGCCTGTAAGGTATATTAGGTTTGATTAGCTCACAATGTTTTGTATTATATTAATCATGTAAACTGTCAGTGTTGGCCAAGTCTGGCCTTGAAGCTCACGCATGATGCTGACAATGAAATCATAGACCAAAGGAAGAGCAGATCTAGTGACCATTGATGCTTTAATTTCCAGTTTAATTCCACCGAGGGACTTACATATGTTTACGAACACTGAACACACGATATATCCCGACCTTCATAAATCTCTTAATTCGTAAAATAAAATCTTGCACATTACTGAACCCTCAGAGCATATGGAAGCAAGGTATCAAGGTATACATTGTAAGTTAATGATAATGCATCAAAAAACACCTCAGTAACTTTACAAATTGTTATCTAAAGAAGTCAGGGAAAAACCGAGTTATGTTCAGCATCCACCGAAATCGATTCTATCATTCGTTGTCCAAACCCCATTCAGTGTACACTCTTTTACAGATGTATTGTCAATTATGATCGTAGTATTAATTCATTACCAATAAAATAGAATTATGTGTAAAACAGAAAGTAATGCATACTCATTAAAATATGTCATCTGGCTGTGTGGTGACACACTCACTGTGAGGAGTGTGTTGGGTACATCAGCAGTGTACTGGGAGTATCACACTTACTGCTAGTGTCTTGTTGGACGTGCTTGGTGGGCGTGGCGAGGATGGTGTAGCCAGTGACAGGGGCGTGTGCACAGTGTGTGGGCGGGGGAGACCACCACACCCGTACCCCGCCACGTCCAGACCCACGACACGACACTCCCACCGGCGGACACGACGGAGCTGCGGGAGGAACCACCTGTGAGTCTACTGCGTCAGCTCAGGAGAGAGACTTTCATCACAACACTGAGAAATGTCAGAACTTTAGTATTTACCTCGTGAAACGTACATGGCGAATTCAAAACATTGTACAGTGTGAATTTAGGCTTCCAGATTATATTCACACAGTTAAGTGATTAAAAAATAAATAAAACACAACCGCTCCTCAGGCCCACCGTCATGGCTGGTGGAGTGAACTATCCTGGGGGAGGAGAGAGGTCCTGGCCCCGCCCTGGTGAACGCCCTCACAGCCACCTCATACAGTGTGGCCGGCGTCAACCCCCGCACCTCGTACTGCTCCAACGCTTCAGTGTCACCGGCTGTAGAGGGGGGGGAGGGGGGGGAGGGGGGGCATATCTTATTATACAGTATAGTAATTATTCTAACTTCACCTTTATAAAGACTTATTATTGTATTAACGTCCTTACTGATCTCCATACATCTTGGACCACCAGCGAGTTTCAAGCAGTTTAGCGAGTGTGTATTTCTGACATGTTTAACCCGTTACATTAATGAAAATACAATATCAATAATATACTACATGTGATTAGGTTAAACATGACATTTAATTTAACATTGTATTTCCATTTACATCTTCACAAACATATATAACTTACTACAAAGAAATCTGACTAACATACAGTATACCTGGTGGCTGTAATAATCCTGTCAATACAGCTAAAGAGTCCCTGTAACTCTGTCGACCTCTGTACTACTCACCTGGCAGAGCTGTGATGGGTCTGGTGATGTAGACGAGGTGGCCCTGGAGGTTCTGGCGACGGAGGGCGATGGTGTAGCCTCTGAGAGGACCGTGAGTGAGGCGTGGGACAGGGGCGTGCCAGGTCACCAGCAGGGAGCGAGGACCTCCTGTAGCAACACGTACGTCCTGAGGTGCTCCTGACGGTGCTGAAAAAGACAAAACATTAATTACAATATCCTGGTAAATTATTGAGATCGAGTCCGACCAACAATGCATTATGTTCAGAGTGAGAGAAAATGTGTGAAAGAGACAGAATATGAGATGGACAGAATTGGAAGGGTGTGAAGACAGGGTGGATAAGAGAGATTTTTGTGGAGAGAGATAGGTTGTAAGAGGGGCAGGGAGAGACACAGAGGGGGAGAGAGACAGGGTGTGAGAAAGTGAGTGTGTGTGAGACAGGGTGGGACACTGACCTTCCTCAAGGGTGGTGAAGAAGTGGACGCTGGAGGGCTGGGACACCCCCAGGTCGTTGTGAGCCATGAGCCTGACGGCGTAGGCGTGGTAGGGCGTGAGGCCTGTTAGTACGTGCCATGATGCCCACTGACCCACACTCACATTACGCCCATGGGACGTCCATGACTCTTTCGCAGCTGCTGCCGTGGGTAAGGTGACCAGCAACGGGAGGTGTAAGAGAAAGACGAGGAATGAATAAACTTACCTAGACGTTCCTGCCTTCTGGTTTACAACAATATTACAAGCAATTCATGAATATTGTTTTGTCCGAGTACAAACATTGTGTTATTATAATGTTGTGTATCAGCGTCAGTGTTTAGATATGGTGAAGTATGGTGTTGGTCACCTCGGTATTGTATGGTGATGGCTGCTGGCTGTGGTAGTGACCAGGAGAGACGGGCTGAGCGGCTCCCCACCTCTGACACCACCACTCCTGATGGCGCTGTCGGCGGCTCTGACGAGGTGGATGAAGGAGAGAGTGAAGTAATGTCAGTATTTTTTGCTTTCAAATACAACTAATTAAACACGCAAACACACATTCTGTACATATGTCGACTGTCTTAGGAACAACAACTGACGTCACTGGTGGAGTAAATATCTTGCTAAAAACTAATTCAATAAACTTTTCAACCACAGGATGAAGACAGTGTTACCAAGACCAACACGCGAGGCTCACCTATAACAACTATAGTGAACACTTGCGAGTGCTCGCCGTGACGGTTAGTGGCGTGACAGGTGTACGGCCCGGCGTCACCAGCCGTCACTGACCGTATCTCCAGTACCACCCTAACCGACCCGCCTCCCCCACTCTCACGTATTGACGTCCTGCGGGGAGGAAGGCAAATATCAATACACCAAATATCAAAACGAGATTATAATTAATTTGTGTCGATTTAACTCTCCAACAATGGCTGAGGCGAACACTTGACCAGCAGCAGTGGCCACCTGTAGTAGTAGGAGGAGCAGGAGGACCGCAGGACACCACCACCACTATCACTAACAGTTGACTGGAATAGAAAATGCTGGTGAGGGCAGGACAGGTGGTAACAGTGATGAACGTACCTATGACCTTGTGAGACAGGGGCGTGGTACCGCTGCCAGGTGAGGGTGAGAGGGTCGTCACCTGTCGCCTCACAGTCTACCGTCACTGTCTGTCCAGCGTGGCCTGTCACTGGTCCACCTTCCGTCACCACACGTGCTGGGGCTGACGGGGGAGAGAGGGTAGACGGGGAAGTGTTAAGACAGGCAGGTATACCTTGATCTCTCCTAATTTACCCTTGACCTGCCCCAACATACCCACGACTTTCCCTGACCTACTTGCCCTGACCCAAATGACACTTACCATGGACAGTAAGCTGGACGACCTTGGAGATGGGTGTCCCGATGTTGTTGGCGGCGCGGCAGAGGAACCACCCGGCGCTGCTAGTGGAGACGGAAGGCAGGACGAGCGACCCGTTGGCAGCCTGTGATGCCCGTACGTTATCTAGCACCACCGCCTGGAAGTCCTGTGCCGAGTCCCCTGCAACACAAGTAACTCACTACACAACACTTAATGACTCTCTATAACACACAACACTTACCACAACACAAGTATACCTATACAAGACTTAATGGTAATGCCATAATGAGTATTACCTGGTGCCTTCATCCAGGTCAGTTCAGGTTGGGGGTAGCCGCGAGCACTGCAGTCCAGGACGACCGTGGAGCCGACCAAGGCCGTGGTGCTGCCTGGCTCCACCACCCACCGAGGCGACACCTGCCGGCCACCACACAGGTAACTCCTGCTATTATATCCAATATCGGAATTTTAAGGCGACTCGCACTTAATATTATTTGAGTTTAGTCAAGAACATAATTATCCAGTTATTCTCATATAGCCACAAGACTATACATGTCTCCTACCGTACCCCATGACCCTTAATCTCGCCCTTAGTGACCTAACTTGACCCTGTCTCGTGACCTACCTTCACCATGAGCGTGGCAGTGTGGTTGGTGGTGGCGGCGGCGTTGGCGGCCTCACAGGTATAGGAGCCTGAGTGGTGCTCCTTCAGCTTCTTGAACAACAAGGTCTGGGGAGCCAAGGATAGACCTCAGTAATGCTACACACACACACACACACACACACACACACACACACACACACACACACACCTTAATTTATACTAATAATGGTCAAATCTTCCTGTTAAATTATTCAAACTGTTCATTTTATTGATGAACAGTCTACACTCGGTGACGAACACTTGCCACACTAACTGTCAAGCATAAACTAACATTAAGTCATATCAACTCAGACAGTCACTATAACAGACTCACCACACAGTCATCACCACAATCAACCAACAGACTCACCACGCAGTCATCACCACAATCAACCAACAGACTCACCACGCAGTCATCACCACAATCAACCAACAGACTCACCACACAGTCATCACCACAATCAACCAACAGACTCACCACACAGTCATCACCACAGACTCACCCTAGAGTAATCACTGAGCTGCTTAATATCGATCCCTGGGTCGTGCTGGAGGTGTCTGCCGTCCTTGAGCCAGTTGAGGGTGATGGGTAGGTCACCTGAGTTGATCATACAGGTGAGTTGTGTTCGTTCGCCCTCCTCCAGGTGACTACGGAACGAGAACGGCTCAATCTTGGGCGGCTCTGTGTAGTGGAAAAACAAAACAAAACATAATCAGTTACCATTTAACGTCCACAAAGTATCATTGCTTCTCTCCTTACTCCCGTTTATCAATAAGGTTTTCTATCCTATTATCCTATTATTTATTATAACGGAAGGAGAATGAGACTACATGAAGAAGAGACCACGGGATCCAATTCCCTTCATTTACTGTACTTTACTCACTTAGCATTTCGCATTTTGATACAGAACATCTCTACAGTATAGCGTTTAACAAAATAGATGAGTTACGCCACCTAGAAATTGTATCACAGAAAATGGTTTATGTTGGGTGACTAAAGTATTTTAGTACTGTAGATAGTGGAGGGAGAACATAGGAAATAGTGAGAATACGCTATATCTACTAAATAGAGATGCTTGGGGCTGAGAGTTGGCAAAAAAGGCTCTATCCACCCCCCAAAAAAAATAAATAATTAAGAACAAATAAACATGCTACACAATATTAAGTTTTGCGAACCAATAAGTAGAACACTGCTAAGGCTACACGGGGTATAATAGAAATCAAAATTCTACCATACTTGAAAAAGATACTTAATAAGAATTTAGAGAAGGTAAGGTAAATGAAACCACGATGAACATACTGAGGACGTGGAGGAAGGTGTGGGAGGCAGCGGTCTGGCCCTGTCTGCCGGTGACGAGGCACGAGTAACGGCCGATGTCACCACGAGCTGCCATCCTCACCAACAGCGTCCCGTTCCTCAACACTTCCTGTCTGTAACACAAGTGACAGATCAACACTCCTGGTTATGCAAAAAGAGCAAAACTGACGTCATTAATGGAACAGGTAAATCATAACATTAATAATCAAGCAACACCTGACTGACCGGAGCCTCAGGTACAAGGAAAAGATAAGGACAGACGGACAAAAACGACTCCTCTATCGTGCCTGTAGACTAGAGTAATGGAAACATACAGTAAACAGCTGAGTAAAACAAAGGCGCTATACACTCGCCAGAAACAAGTTCGAAGACTCGCCTGAGGGAAGTAGGGAGGGTGTGGCCGTTCCTCTGCCAAATAATGGAGGGCGCCGGGTAGCCTCCTGCAGGACACCACAGCCTCACGTCCTCCCCAGACACCGCCGTCACGTTGGCCATAGCGCGTACGAAGGGTGGACCTGTAGGAGTGGTGGTGGTGATGTAGTGCTGTGTTGTAAAGGGAGGGTGAGGGGTGGGGGGAGTGAGGGGGTTAGAGGGTGAGGGGGGGGGGGGGGGGGGGGGGGGGGGGGGGGTGAGGGGGTGTCTACCGTGGTGAAGTGCTGTAGTAAGTGTACTGTAGTCTGGATCTGACCAAAATAACACTCGACTTTTTTTTTTTGTAAATATTATGTGACAGCCAAAGCCAAAAAATCTTGAATATAGTCACACTAACTACACTGTGTCACATGTACCTGCACACATGACCACTATAAAAACAATATGTCACCTACACCCTATCCTCTTGGCTCTCCAGACAATAAAAATGAAACACAGATTATCAAGATTTAAAACTTTTTCACTGTATTTCATGTTAACATTTAAACACAATAAAACTTCTTAGGAAACAAAACTTTAAAATTAACCACAGTAAAGGTTAGGAAGGCCAACAAAAACTTACTTGGATGGGCTATGCCAAAAAAAAAAAATCTTGATCTTTTTTAAATAAGTCTGTATGTCGGTCGTGTAGGTAAACAGTTGCCACCAGCCAGAACACATTTAATATGATGCATCAGACAATCACTATAGACACACAAAAAACATTTCATTTATCGCTGTAAAAGAGAGAGACAGTCAGGAGGACACAACGGCCCGCCACTATAGTCACTGATTGAAGGTTCTCATTTGTAAAGGTCAACACGCATCCACGCCGCCACAGTCTTATCACACTCCATAATGACAGCACAAAGGAAAGCTGATGGCATGGTTTTCCTTTTTCACTAAACAATATTCTCTACTACGATGGCGCTGTAAAGATGATTATTTGGTGAGTGTCCTGTGTGTGTGCTGCCGCCAACACAGAGGAGGTGGGACAAAAGGCAGTGTGGGGGTGGGGGGTTGAACCGGAAGGGCGAGGAGGGTGAATGGGTACGGGAAGAGGTGGAGGGAGAATTGGTAGGGTGGTGGGGGGAGTTGGGTGAATCGGAAGAGTGACCGCAGCAGAGTACTCGTATGTGAGGTGCGTTACCGTAGACATTGAGCCTGGCGGAGTGGGCGACGGAGCCTTGGGTGTTGGAGGCGGTGCAGGTGTAGAGGCCGCCCTCCCGCCCCGTCACCGAGCTCAGGTTCACTTGGCTCACCACCTCCCCCAGCGCCGCCCTGAAGCTCCCCACACTCGTCCTGTTGGGGAGGAGACAGCTGAGAGACTGTTGAGAGACGGGGAGACGTTAGGAGGTCCTCGTGGTGATCTGAAGAAGGATAGGAGGGGCTAGTGACCTACCTGAGGGAGGGCAGGAGAGGCTGGTGATCGCGGGTCCAGGTGATAACAGGTGCAGGGGTGCCCACGGCCGAGCACTTGAGGGATACAGGTGACCCCGGGGACACCGTCTGCTCGATAGGCGTGTACCGCAGCTGAGGCACCGAGTCTGTGGGTGGGGGAGAGTGTGGGTGGTTAGGAGACGCCGTGGGCGGGAGAGAGAGACAGAGATAAAGAGAGACAGAGAGAAATAGAGAGAAGGAATACATTGTCAACATCTAAACAGAAAATACTACCTGTATGTGTGTGTGTGTGTGTGTGTGTGTGTGTGTGTGTGTGTGTGTGTGTGTGTGTGTGTGTGCGTATTGTTTACCTTGTCGAGCATAAGGGTTGAGTCCCAGATCACGGGAGGGTCGCTTGAGGTCACCACCCGCCCGCTTGTGGGTGGCAGAGTTGAGCCGCCTATGGGTGGTATGACGACTTCGATCTACCTGCCGTGGGTGACCAGGTGAGGAACGGGTGATCACGTCCCTGGTGGCCTTGTTGTCCTCGCTGCTGCTATACCTGCCGAAGAAAAATAATTACCTGTGTATAAGGGGAATATTAATAGTGTGACAACCAAATCTCAGACAGGTAATCTTCCCTGTCTGTCTTTCGCGTCTGTGTGGAGGCTCATGAGGGAGGAACAAAGAGGGAGGGAACACAGTGGGAGGAACACAGAAGGAGGGAACACAGTGGGAGGGAACACATAAGGAGGAACACAGAGATGAACATAGTCAGAACTCTTACCAAAACACCGAGACAATAACAAAATATCCACAACCTTTAGTGGAGATCAGTGAACTAACCCCTTGTGTATGGTGTCGCCTCTGAGCTGAATAAAAAAATCATCTAGCGTAAACCAAATAACAAATTAAAAGTGGCGTCCCCGTAGTGAAGGGGCGAAACTCTTTAACTTTCAATATCTATGTCGCTGTGACTCATAGGAATGTGGTTTTCAATGTGTATGTGTGTGTGTGTGTGTGTGTGTGTGTGTGTGTGTGTGTGTGTCATGGGGGAACGTGAAGGGAGTGTCAGAACCCGGACATGTCAACACAGACACAGACAGACAGACATTCCATACAGACACGCCCATTGATAACACACACACACACACACACACACACACACACACACACACACACACACACACATAATAAACCCCCCTTGGTCCTCCTCTCTCGCTTTATTGAATCACCATCAACGCTAAAGTTACCGACCACCAATTTCTCGACCTTCATTCTCTCGTAATTGGGTTTTGTCGAGAGTTTGACCCCGCAGGTAAAGGTTAGGGAGCTGATCTACTGTCCCTCTTACCTGTCATCACCTGTCCTTCTGTCTCCAGGGAGACGGGAGGAAGTAGTTCGAGGTACTGTCGGGTAGTAGTGGATGGTGATTTGGGAAGTGTCGGGTGATAATGTGTGGGGAAGTACCAGATGATGGTGGTAATGGTGGTGGGATAGTGGTAGTGGGTGGTGGTGATGGTTGTAGGTGGTGATGGTGGAGGATGGGGGGGTGCAGGGGCAGTAGTAAGAAGCAGTGATGGTAGTAGTAGTCAGTGATGGTCAAGAGGGAAGTAGAATATACCTTGTACAATAGTTGTTATGGAAGTATCGATAAAGTAGTAATAGTAATCGAGGGGGAGGGGGGGGGCGGTACCTAGTAACATAATACCAGATGAAATTACCGATTGAAAATACAAATTAATAAATAATGAGAAAAAAAGCTCAATAAAACCCCACTAGGCGACCTTACTGCTGTTGCCCTCTTGCCGAGTCATATTATTTTTTCGATATTTATTACTTTTTTATCACTCAAAAATATTCAACAAAATATTACTACACAAATAAAACAAATTCTAAATTGAAAGGATCTAAAAAATATTGTTACCGTCTGGACCATTAAGTGTTTTTTTAACTCATTTATTTTTCACTGAACACAAAGTTTATTTCACTTTCCGATTTTCGATGTCTGTCTGTCTCTCTGTCTCTGTCTGTCTGTCTGTCTGTCTGTCTGTTAGTCTTTTGTCTGTTTTTTTGCCGTTTTGTCTATCTGTCATTTTATGTTTTTCTATATGTCTGTCTGTATATCTATCCATCCAACCCCTCATCCATCTAACCACCCCCTCATCCATCCACCTGTCTGTCTGTCTGTCTCTCGGTCGTCCAATAAAACCTGTCTACTCAGTGCCCAAAAATCCTTTAGGTGTTTACAGCCAGTGTTGATCTGACTGGTGGAAGCTTCAGGTGAGGTCGTCTGGTAATGGCTTTTGAACGTCTGGTGAATGGGTTAATAGATGGTGAATATTGGTGAACGCATAGTGAACGTCTGTTGAGTGAATGGTGAACGACAGCCGAGTTTATGGTTGGTGAACGTCTCGTAAATTTCTGATGAACGGCTGATTAATGGTTTCATATGATGAGAGTTTAGGGAACGGCTTGTGAGTGGTTAGTTAATTGACTGGTGAACGTCTACTAAACGCCTGGTGAACGTCTAGTAAACGCCTGGTGAACGGCTGAAAGGAATGTAAACACAATGGGCGCCGACAAATGGGCAACGAGACGTGAGCGAGATAATAAAGAACAGACGAACGGCGGTGAAAATATTGGATGGGGGAGAAAAGATATGTACAGAGAGAGAGAGAGAGAGAGAGAGAGAGGCAAGATAGACAGACAGACAGAGAAAAAAGTAAGAAAGACAAACATGAAAGAAACGTACAAACAGAACAGAACAGAAACAAGGAAACATCAGTAGTTTTATGTTGCAACTCGAACAAAAAAAGAAAAACTATTGTATTGTTTATTCTGTCTAAAATTTAAATACATAAAAGTAAATATAAATACAATGTTTCACTGAATATATGAAAGATTTACAGCAACAGAGAGAGAGAGAGAGAGAGAGAGAGAGAGAGAGAGAGAGAGAGAGAGAGAGAGAGAGAGAGAGAGGATTGTCAGTGATGAAAAATGAATAAATCCTACACGGAAAATACAGTAATGTGTGGAGGACCCAAATTCGCCGCAAACAAAGTGAGTGAGTGAGTGGGTGAGTGTGTGTTCCATTCCATAGGTTTTACTTAACCAAACGTTTACTCAGGGAATAAAATTACTTATGAGGTAAAACAATTAAAGGTGATGGTTGGTGTTGGTTGTCCAAGAGGTAAACTTGTGGTGTAGGTCAGGTCACCCCTAGATGGACACCTTCACCGACCCTGGCTGGAGGATCACTCATCACATTCTGCTAATACTTCCTGAAGTTTTTGCTGTGTGGTGGAGTCGAGTGTCACCTGACCAAACTGAGTAGTGATTTTTTTTATACATCTGTGTGTGGCCGTATCATGTGCTGCCTGAGGTAGTCTTGTTAAGCCGTACTTTTTAATTTTAGAGTAAATATTTTTGTATACGATAATACAAGATTGTTGGTTGAGGTGGCGCGTCCTCCCAGCCAGCCAGCCAGTCAGCCACCCGGAGAGAGACGTGCCATAAAAAATAACAAGGTTTGTATACTTCTGAAATATCTCTCAAATCTCTTTTCATTTTGTCTCTTGAATATTTCTCTAAATCAGATCCACATAACGTAGTCCAACTTATTACTTCTTTTAAAGGTACAGAGTCCATCGTACTCTCATTCGGTCCATTGTACTCTCAGACGGTCGGGAAATAACCACAACAACTTTAATTCTGACAACATTTTAGCTTTATGGACGGTACAAATCCCGTCTCATCTTCATAACATTGTTTTGTGAAAGTGTAAGTGCGGCGAGGGAAAGCCAGCCACACTTTCTTCAATCTCGTCAGCTGGAGAAACAGGGGCCTAACTCCACCACAAATATGACATAAACAAACCCAAACAGAAATTCAATAACCCAAATGTCTCTAGACTGAAAACCCTTTAACCCAGAGGTCCTCATACTGCTTAGTCATCGTCGGGTCGCTAGGCACACGGGGGGGCAATATTTTCCCATTTATTGTTAAGTATTAAAGTCTGATTAATTCTGCAGTAAATATAAGAGTAATATAATATATTTTAATCCCAGTTAATATAGGGACACTACAGAGTTATTATCTTATGGTAATATATCTGTATTTGAGCATAAAACACACCGAGGTAGGAGTGTACAGAACAGTATATCCAATATAACAATTTATCATAACAGTATGTTAGAATAACACGTTATTAATTACACATTTTAGTATCAAAATTGATGTAAAAGTAATTATGGTAATGTTTATTAAATGGACAAGAATTATTCTGGCGTTAAACAATGTCGCTGTTTTTATAGGGTAGGTCACCCTCGTTAATGATGATGTTACCAGGTATTGTCCCTTTGTGGAGTGAAGGTGACACCATGCCATCACTATCACCACTACTATACCATCACTATCACCACCGCACCATCACATCACACTATTACCACACTATCACCACACCATCACCATACCAGCTATCGACGTCACTATATAATAATGACCTTTGACACGACGCTATTCTAAACAACTCCTGACAAAACTGATACGAATAAGTAACTCCTAACAGCATAATAATAATAATAATAATAATAATAATAATAATAATAATAATAATAATAATAATAATAATAATAATAATAATAATAATAATAATAATAATAATAATAAACTTCAATGTATAATAAAAATTCACACAAGGAAATACTAACAGTGTACAGTATTTCAGTTGGTAAAATATAACAAACATTAATATCAAAACACAGAAACGTATAATAAAATATGGAACGAACAGAGGATAATATGGCAGAGGTCCGACTCTCTCTCTCTCTCTCTCTCTCTCAGGATAGCGAGGTGGGAATAAAATATGAAGTCTCTCTCTCACTCTATCTTTAAAATTCTATTCACTGACACTACTTATTAAAACCAACAATGATTCTACCCATTGTAATCTTATTGGTAATTAAGATACGTAATAGGTTTTGTTTTGTTTTTAACGTTTGGAAAGTTTTTAAAGACGCGTATATCGACTCGTAAACATGAGCGTCACCTCACCAACGCCCTCAGGATCAACTACACCGTTTGATGATGTCTTGGGACGAGAGGCTCTCCATGTACACTCTTCCCGAGATTAATCCGATAAAAAGACACAATTTTATTATGTCATTTCAAGGCTTTTACGGTGGCGAAGTGTGTCGGAGGAGGTGTAACGAGTGGGGTGTTATCATCGCTACACTGGATATATATCTCTCATGGTCCACTCTAAAGGGATTACAGTTTCTCCTGGGTTAGGATTCTTGAATGTTTCTTATATTAAACTGGTGACGTAAAAACACATATATATTGATCATTAAACTTTTGGTACAGAAGCTAACTTGTAGATGAAATTAAACTTGACAATAAGTTAGACATATTCTCTCATTTCATGTAAGGAGTTAGATTACATTGTTGACATCTATCAGAGAGCATAACTGTATGGAAGCTTCATCAGGTGTTGTCTAGTCATAGCGTATTGACGTATTTACAACACCTGCTTAAAGACTTTAGTTGAAGCAGAGAAAT